ATGGGATGTTAGCTCCATACAGAGATGAGGAAATCGAAAGATGGAAAGGGGAAATGAAGCCAAGGAAAACATAATAAAAAAGGGATAAAATGGCCACAAAGCTTTGTGCATTGTGGAGGAGGAAGGGGTTGAAGGCAGGGCGGGGGATTGGGAAAAAAAGAATGAAAGTCTATAGAGGAGTAAATTCCCTGTGATGAATGTGATCGCTTTTTATGTTTAAATTGATCCAAGAGTAAAATGTCCCTGTTCCTCTTCTCTAAGTACCTGACCTTCTTCCCCTGTCCCTTTGCTCCTTAAAATGTGCACAGGCTTCTACTTATCCTTGAGGAGAGCTGCCAAGTGTCCCAGAGACAAAGATCAATCGGGGACCCCGCTGAACCCTCTGAGGGCTCGTGCTGTCCTGGACACTGGTGATGCCTTGGTGCTCCCTGCCGGGAAGTCAGAGACCAGAAGGCAGACGGAGAAAGAAGAGCCAGGTGGAAAAGGGAGGAGGAGGGAGGCCGGGCAGAGGGAAGCCCAGAGGGTGAGCAGGACGTATAGAGGGACTGGGGGCAAAGCCCTGGCACTTTAGCAGTGCTGCTGAGTGTTCTCGTCCTGTGCACGGCCAGGTAATGCCTCCATTCCCGCCTTTCAGACTGATTCCCTACGAGTGTCCCTCACATGGGTGTGCATGACTGTGTATGTGCCGCTGCTCATGCACACAGGTATGTAGACAGTGCCTTAATTATTCCTGTGATGTGGCCTGGGCCATTTGTGGATACATTATATACTGCACATTTATGTGTGTGCTGTGTGCAGAGAGAAGTGAAAGTATTTTCTCAGCTTTTGCTGTTTGCTGTCAGGAACACTCTGTTTATGAGGAGTTTCCAAAGCTGTTCCCTCATCCCCTTTTTCATTTATAAAGGTTGCAAAATCCAGACTCCTTTGTTAGACAGAGAAAGGGAAAGACAAGCAGCCCAACATCAGAATACTTAGGAGAAAGCTGTCTGATTTCTAAGGCAAGTTTAGCAGGGCTGCCTTGCCCATGACCTTTTCAGATACAGTGACCTTCATGCTAGTGTCAGCCCTAGTCAGTCTTGCCATGTACAAGCCTTCTGTTTTATTATTATTATTATTATTATTATTATTATTGCCTCCTTTTCGTTTTTTGAATCAAGGTATTTCTATTTAGTTCAGGCAGGCTTTGAACTCCCCATGTAGCCCAGGCTGGCCTGAATGTGGCAGCAGTCCTCCTGCTTCAGCCTCCTGAGTGCTGGGCTTACAGGAGTACATCACGTTGCCCAGATCTATTCTTGTTTTTCAAATGCATGTCCAATATTAATTGGTTTCTGTGAATATTATTCTTCAATAGCTGGATTCTATCTTCTGATTTGGAAGGTTTTCCTTCCACACTTCACTAACTGGAGGACTTACAACCAAGCATACCACAGGAAAAATATCCTTGGCACTATTTTGAAAGTTGCATTGCTCTGTGTGAATCATCAAAAGTGTATATAGAAAGCCACGATCTGACACTGCACTTTCAGCCCCATCTGTGCTCCCACACCTGCTCAGGACCTGCTTCCAACCTCTTTCTCTTGTCACAAACCCCGTCTGAGAGCAAGGATTCTCCACTGTGTTCACTGAAATCCTGTGAGCACATCTTCCTGGGTGTCCTGTGGGCCCCGTCTCTACCCTGATGCCCGAGGGCTCCAGACTCAACAGCCTGGCTTCCCCTAGGTGGCCTTTGGGTCAGGGCGGGCGGGCAGAGGCCCTAGGAGAGAGAATGAGGCCTGGGCAGCCCCTGCCCCCTGAGATCCGTGCTGCCTTGGAGGTGGAGGCGGCACTCAGCCTGCAGCCGGGCTCTGGTGTGGAAGCCTTGCAGGAAGCTCTGTCCAGGCTGCAGGAGCGGGAGATGAAGGCAGTGAGGTGGGGCTGCTGCCTGTGCCTGGGCCACCTGAGCGCATGGCACAGCCTGGGCTCCAGAATCTGGTTCCCCGATGCCAGGACCACTGGGCCAGCATGGCTTGCTGCCAGGGCTGCTGCTCCTTCCTGACCTTTGGATGGTTTCTTTCCTTTTCCAATAGGATCACAAATTTCAGGGGGATGGGCTTCTAGACTGCGAGGAGGAAAGACAGGGCGACCAGAGCTCTAGAGACCAAGGTGCTCCGGCCAGCAGAGGAGTCCAGGTGTCACAGGCTGAGAACAGCAGAGGCAGGAAGACAGGGCTGTCGCTGGTGCAAGGAGTCCTGCAGTCCATGGGCACCATGGCTGTCCTGGCACTGACGGTGGAGTGCTTCATGGTCCACCCCCACCCCCAGGCTGAGCAGTGCAGAATTCAACAGGTCGTTTTAGCTGAGGCTCCATTTCCTGGGTGCAGTCCCAGCGTCTGTGGGCCTTTGCAGACTTTAGGCTGTGATCTGCAGGGCATGATGCTGACTCTAATTTTCTCTGGGGCCTGGTTTAGTGACATCATTTTATCCCTACCCAATGTATCAAAATCTAGGACTCCAGGGTCTCTTTTGTCCAGATCCAGGTGCTTAATGCCAAAACTGCTGGGGTGCTCTTATCCAAGGCCTGGGCCCCTAACAGTAGAGATGGAGCTGAGCAGAGGGTGACCTGGGCTCAGGCCACAGCAGAGGGATTCCGTTGCAGCACAGCTGGCCAAACTGCTTGGGAAAGGGACCTGTCCAGAGGCACAAGCTCTGCTGTACTTTGTAGGAAAAAGTAGGCTGATGTGATTGATACCTGGTCTTCCAGGTCAGGTAACCAATAGTACTGCCCTGGTGTGTAAGCAGCAATGAAGGACTTGTGAAAGGCAGGGTGCTATGATACTTGCAGTGATCCCAGCCTCAAAGCTTTATCCACTGCCCGGAGCTCAGCGAGCCAATCATCAGCTAGGTGTTTCCAGCCAGGATTTAGTGCGCAGTTGCCCATGTAAGAAATATTGAGTGCTTTCTGAGAAAGAAGGAGCACTGCAGACTGTAAGCAAACAACACTCCATTCCAGATTTCAAGCCTAGAGCTCTACTCAGAAGACCCAGAAATCCTCTCAGTGCACAGGCTGTGGAGGCCCCAGTGGCTCCCGCAGGCTGCACTGGGCCCCACCTGTGCAGTTCTGGCTGCAGGGCCTCCACACAGGCTCAGGGCTTGTGTGTGCTGGGTGCCTGCTGTGCACCTGGATGAGTTCACACCACTCTCTGCCTCCTGCTCCAGTCTCCTGCACTCTGTGTCTCTGGAAATATCCAGCAGATCTGCCACGGAAAAATAAAACGTTTTTACAGCAAACAGTAGGGTTTCAGGACAGCTTAAATCTGCTGTAGTTCTTCTCGTTGCAAGAAGACTTTTGCACATGCTCTGCGAGGCGTTATCATGTTGAATGCTCAAAACAAATTTTAACAAATGGATGCTATTTAATTTTTCAATACGTGAAAAATGACCTTAGGTCTTGCAGTCAGCTACTTCTGCACATTTTCTGTTTTCTCCTGTGTGACAGCCTTGCACTACATTGCTGAGCCTGGCCCTGTACTTGCAGTCTTCCATCCTGAGGACCCCATAGAGCTACGACTACAGGAATAGGCCAGTGTCAGGCTACAACCCGAGGGGAACCTTATCCTCATACACAAGTACCAGACTGGAAAACACCAATAGTTACTGTCAAAAGTGCACATAGAAAGCTTTAGTAAGAATAAAACACCACTTTTGCAAGAGAACTGCGAGTTGTTCACCCTGAGAGGAGCCTCCACACTCTCCCTCCTGACAGACTCCCTGGGCTTCCCTCAGTGAGTGAAGTTTCTATGGTGCAGGGAGCCTGTGTATTTGGGAGGCACTGTCAGCTCCACCTCCATAGACATTCCCAGGGCAGGGGGAGAGGCTGCCCGCTGTGCCCTTGCTGAATACCCTGAAAACACCCTCCCTATCATGTTTCACTTTGCTTTTCTGTTTTATTCTTTTCTCCTCACTCTTCCTTTTTTCCCTGTCTCATTTCCTTTTTCCTTTTTTTCCATTTTAGATCTTGTGCTGTTATTTTTTAGTCACCTGGGTGGGTGCAGTGTGGAGTCTGAAGTGCTGTCTGACTGTCCTTGTACCACTCCATTGTGGATGAGTGCTGTCTCTCTTCTGTAGTCAAAGATACTTGATCTCTGACCAAGACATTCAGGCTGGTGGTGTTTCCACCCAAGCTTCTTCTCAATTAACTCCAGGCCTCCTTCATTGCCCTTAATCAAAGATAAGCTCCCTGGACATCAGCAGGCAAGAGCTAATGTGCCCCTGGGAGTGAATGTGGGACAAGGGCGCCACTACTGTGGACCTTGAGGACTGCATCTGAGCTGCACAGAGACATTCTCAGGAATCACTGCAGGACTCCAGCACCCAACCTCCTGAGCACCATTTATGTGCTTAGAAGCCTTTCCTACAAAAAGGGGAGCAAATTTTAGCTGGCCTCTAAGATTCTGTTAGCCCTGCGCATCCCTAACCCCACTGCAAAGCCTTCTGTCCGTGAGGCCAGTGATTTTCTCCACTCGGGACAGAGTTTCCCTTCCTCATTCATTTCCTCTCTCCCTGCACAGTGTTAGAAGGTCCAGCTATAGTCCTAAGTACTTGCTGAGAATAAAGTCCCATATCTTCACTTCAACAGGAACAGGGAGGAGCACAGTGCAGTGAGAACTCATGCATGGGATGAGCAGTGAACAGGGTTACATTTTGCCAGTGGAGTCTTTGGCTCTAATGCGGAGCAGGTTGACTAGCTCAAGGGGATCAGGTTTTGTTCACAGCTGCTCTCAGCAGGCACAGAGCCACAAATCCCTGGGGTTGTTTCAGGGAGCTGAGCAGGCTCTGTTTCAGCCACCCTCTGGGAGCCCGGGTCCAGCAGCAACTTGGGGTGAGCCCAGTGAAATCTGAAGTCCTTGTTCTGTTCAGACAGTGCAGCGTGCAGGAAGGGGCTATGCACAGTCTCCCAGCATTCCCACAAGAGATTCTGTGGTCAGTGTGAGTTCTCACCACCTCCACTCCACTTCAACAGCTTGTAGACCAGCCCTCTCTCTTCCTCAATTATCTCTGAGATTTCAGGGCACAATACAGTAACTGAGCTGAGGGCACTGCAGACTCCATTTGGTGCATGCTCAGTATCAATGACTTTGTACTTGGTGTTGAGCTCCACTTCTCGCCTCACCCCCGCCCCCACTCCAGCCACTGCTGCAGCCGCAGCCGCAGCCCCAGACTCAGCCCCAGCCCCAGCCCCAGCCCCAGCCCCAGCCCCAGTTTTGCTATTTTGTAACCTCCTTGCATAGCAACTGGTTGGAAATAGATAGCCAATAGCAGCCTTCAGGGAGGATCTCGGGGACTGAGCTTGCCCAATCGGGTATAGGACCCCTGCAACAATTTGCAAGATCAAGCGCCATCTTTTTGCAGCCACGCTGTTTCCAAGAGACATTAAGGTTTTGCTCACTTCTACGAGAGAGCAGATTTCCTGGTCTTTCGTGCCTTGCAGCCATGGAGGAGAAGCGCCACCACTTTGACCTGCGCTACCTTCTACTGCAGTATGGGATGGAGGAAATCAGTGCCTGGCTTATAGTAAATGCCACTTCAGTGCCTCATAGCAGCCACTGCATTAAAGAAGCTCTTGACATCGTGGTGGCCTACAACAACCACAGGGGCCACCTGGACCACGGTCAACGAGTCCACATGAGCCAGGGAGGAGACGATGATGGCCAAGCACCTCTGGATGAGCAGCAGCCTGAGCAACTGCTGCTCGCTGAAAAGGATTCTTCAGAAGCCAGTGGCCTCCAGCCGACCCGGCCCCGGCGGTCCCGAATCTGCTTCAAGCCGTGGGAGGTGAGAGAACTGGAAAGCCTGTTCCAATTCACTCAGTACCCGGATGTGTTCGCAAGGTGAGCTGCTGCCTCTGGGAGTCCCTGGGATTTGGGGGGTGCGCTCTTTTCCTGCTGCCTTTCTATCTCTCTTGCTGCCCTCTTTCCTCTCTTGACCTGAGTGCATCCAAAGAGCGCAAGCTCTTTACCTGCCTGTGTTTAGGCAGGGTTGGATGGCACCTCCAGGGGAACCAAGGTTGGGATTTTACTGCGGTCTGGGGAATCCAGTCTGCAAACCGCTTGGTGGCTACTACTTTGTTTTTTTGTGTGTGTGTTTTGTTGCTATGTGATGCACCTAATAGGACTTTTCTAGAAGAACTGCTCTGAGTTACAGATATCAGCACTGTCAACTTTTTTCACCACATTGTTCTGCAACCCATCTCCAGAAACCTCTGAATTTGGCAAAGTCAAACCATCGACTTGAAACATCTCTCATTTCCCCCATCCCCCTGCTCCTCACAATCAATGTCTTTATATAATTGTACTCTGTGAGAGGGCATTCTCTATGAACGGGATCTAAGTGCAATTGAAGCCTGGTAGTGTTTTTGTGCCTGGATATTTCACTTCACGAATCCTCATGTTGCATCCCTGCTGCCGCATGCATCTGAAGTGCCTTCCTTTTCAAAGCTGAGTAATATTCCCTTGCATGGACACACCCTTGTTTCTCATTCATATGTGGAGAAGTTGCCTTTGTGAATAGTGCTATTGTGAGCTTCTTTGTCTAACAGCTGGGAAGTGCAGATTTCAGTGCTTTGGAGGCATCCTCAGAAATGCAATCTGTGGACCTTAAGATTCTGTTTTTGCTTTAAGGTCCCAACAGAAATTTATCGAGACAGTTTGCAGAGGCTGGTATTCCTTCTAGCAGTTACTAAGGCTCTGGTTTCTCCCTTAACTGAGCACGCTTGTCATTTCCCAGGTTTGCTAGTGGTCCAGGTGATGGAGTGATGGACATGCCCGTGGTTAGGATGTATGTTACAGGCTAGTCATTTGGAACCTGTTTCCTCCTGGTCCCTGCTCCTCTGTCTAGCTTCTTTAGAGAAATGTCTCACGGAGTCCTTGCTGATGCCCAATTCTGGAAGGTGTGTATTGCTTTTTGACCTGAGAGAAGTGTTTCTGTGTGTCTGTCAGGCCTGTTCTAGAAATACATATTTTTCCCATAGGGTTGCTCCTTTTCAGTGTCTTGACTGTATCTGTTGATTCACAGAAATGTTTGTCTTTAACATGATCCACTTTATTTTTGCTGTATTCCCTGAAATAGTCTCTGTGTCTGTAAATAAAATTTATGTGGGCTCTGGATCAATAGCATGAGAATGGCGTTCTATAGGCTTCCTGTATTTACAATTTCTACTATTTTTTTAAATGTGTATGGTTGCATTCTTTTTCATTTTTCAAAATGGTGCACTACATTAGCTCTGAATTGTTAGTGCCACCATATAATTGGTGAGGAGGTGAACACATTTGTAAAGAGTGATCTTTGATTTTGAGATGGAGAAAGTATGCATGGGTCACTGTGAGGTGTGTTGCCAAACTTAAGAAGCATGCGCAGTGTATATATGATGCTTCATTCACAGAGAATGCTGAATCTTTAATCCTCCACAAGGAATATAGTATATTTGTGATTTTCTTTCCACAGACTAAAGCTTGCAAGAGAGCTGAGCCTGCCTGAATCCAGAGTGAAGGTCAGTAAATCCAAGAAAAGCCATTTGATGGGGCAGGCAGTTCTATCCTGCTTCAGGACATGGCTTTTCCTGGGTGTTGTGAATGTGGTGTCTTTCTTGTCCTTTCTTACTGTGACGAGCAAGGTTTGGTCTTAAGAGCATTCACAGGTAGAAAAGCGAACAGTAAAACTAGGCATAAAGTTCTTTGCCATTGCCAGAGAGGCTAAGATTTGATAAATGAGGACAAAAGAAAACAAGAGATCAAGCTTCCTCGCCTATTCTAGGTGCACAGTTAATTTTATATATGTATATATAATACAGAGAACTATAATTATATATATCTATAATTCAGGGACTAGCACACTTTATATATATCCACTAATTTAAGTTCACCAGTTTGTAGAGCTGTATCCACCTAAGGTACACTTCTGTGAAGACTCATGTTTGGATTTTAGTGTGACTTTGAAAGTATTCAAAAGTGTGCATGAAGATGTGAGGTTAAGAAAGTTATTTCTCAGTGTGTCCAATCTCTGCAACATGAAGTTCCCAAGAACCTCACATGTGGTGCTAGGACTGGTAGGTAGTGAGTCTCCAGAAACAGACCTGATGTCAGCTCACCTGTGGCAGTGCGCTGTGTACACTGCTGTTTAGATGCACATGTCACCATTGACCACTGTTAGTCCTCTCCACATCAGCCCTGCTGTGGCTTCTGGATATAGTGTGTTGGTTTCAGTAAGCCCACATGACACTGGGAGAGAAGGCCCTTTTAACATTACTGTTTGCAGTGTGGGAGCTTCACAAATGGTTAAGTCCTTGGGAATGCTCGAGAATTGGGCATTTGCATGGGATTGCAGAGCCCAGAGATATGTGACACAGATCTTGGTCTCCCTGCAGAGGAATGGGTAGCACAGGTTTAGAAGGGAGCAGTTGTGTGACTCCTTCCACTGGTCACTGCATGGTGGGGGCCCTCTTCCTGGAGAGCACTTCCCCTTTTGTGTCTTGGGAAGGAGGCCGGGCTGTGGATGCCCGGGTGGAGCAAGAGCAGAGCTGCTGCTGTGCAAATAAAATGTCAGAGGCGTGTGAGGTTCCATGAGGGGCCTTCATTGTGACAGCGACTCTTCTGTGCACTAACCCAGGGCCTCTTGTCCCCTGAGTGCAGAATTGGTTCAAGAATCGGAGGGCCAAGCTTAGGAAACTTCAGAGGGAAGCCATGCTCAGCGATGCCCCACCTGCTGTCCAGCACCAGGGAGACGTCCAGGACCAGCAGCAGCACTTGCCTGTTCCCCTTCTGTGAGGCCACACTGCACGTGGGTTTTGTTCGTGGCACTAAGTCTGGGCCGTGTGTTGGCGCCCGTGCCAATTTGAGGTTTTGTTCTCAGCACTTATGTTGTCAATAAAGTAATGAAATTTTAGTAAGTTTCTTTTTCTGGCAACTCTGCGGATAGTGGAATATAAACATCAGATGACATGATAATGTCATTTCAACAAGTGATGATGAGGTCTCTAGTCATGAAAACCCTCCCTTGGGTTTCCATCAAGAGGCCTTGGAAATCAGTATTCTAAGGGCCATAGAAATTTTTAATGATCCATATTTTATACTTAATTGTGTGTCCCCTGAAGCCAGACCATGGCTTCTTCAGCAGTGTGCTGTGATATTGGGATGTGCACTGTGACCAGATGGGCTGAGGCAGGTCCCTGGTCAGAAGACACCATATACAACAAGGCTGGCTCATACTCAGGCTGCGGAGTTCTGTGGCAACCTTGCAGTCTGAGGGCAGCTCCCCAAGGGCGTCTGCGGAGTCAGTGGGAAGGAGGCAGAGGCACAGCCATGTCCTATGCTCCCTGTGCTACTCGGGGTCCTCCTTGCGGGGAGCACATAGGGAACCAGGGATGGTTGTGGAGCAGAGGTCCTGATGCTTCTAGGGAACCACAGGACTGAATCCTCCAGAGGCCAGAGAGGCCGCTGCAACTTTCTGTCCCATCACTGGGCCAAGGGCTCAATCCTCAAAGCTTCCCCAGCTGAGAGACTGAGTCTCTGATCTTCCCTTGCCCTGGCTCAGTTGTAACACTCCTGTGAAGTCAGCAGGGGGCGCTAAGCAATGCCTGAGCAGAGAGGGACTTCCCCCTCATCTCTGTGTTCACTCTCCTTTTCATTGTTCCTTCCTGCAGAGCTCAGCAGAGGCAGCTGTTAGTCCCGTGACCTTGGAAAGCATTTATATGCTTCTCTACAGTCCTTGACGTTTAGGGATGATTCAGTTTGCAGAGCTGATCATTTATTTCTAAACCAGGTGAAGAGAATTTCCTTAAGGGACTTCATAAGTTCATACTATCCACAGGAATTATACTGCTGTATCCATGTATTTATGTGTTTATTTTGTGTGTTTGAGGCTTGATTTCCCTGTATAGTTCAAGCTGGCTTTGAATTCACCTTGCAGCCCAAATGGCCTCAGTATCACGGTGACCTTCCTGCCTCAGTCTGTCCTGTACCGGATATACAGATGTGCTCCATATCATATTCATTATACCTTGAGATGGAGCAACATGATACCTTTACTTCTAAAATTGTATTCACGATCCAGTAATAGGAACGTCCGTGTTTGATGTCCGTATCTGTGTGTTTAGTATGCACATGTATCTGAGAATCTTTTGCCACAAAGCTCACCTTGCCATTAATCCTCCTCAGTGTGCCCCTCCTTGTGTTGAACTCAGTCTAATCATTCTTGCTGCTTTCTGAAGCATTTCTGACAGTCCACCCTGGTGTCTGGCGTTGTCCATTTGTGGCAGCCTGGAGGACTTGAATGCATTCAAACACCTTCTTGACATGGAGGACAGGGCAGGAGCCCCGTGGTGATAGATGCGGTGACTGACGTGGAAGAGGACAAATTATAGGTTCTTACTTGAAGGGAATTGCTGCATATATTGGATCAACAAAGAGTAAACCAAGAATGTGATAATGCCTGCAACTTGAGACAGAAAGACACACTTTCAAAATGCTCAAAGTCATCCCTTCTCTTCAAGCAGGCTTAGCCTTTGTTTTTTGGCAGTGTCTCTTTTAGAGTAAAAACTGGTTTTTAAAAAGGCAAGCATTCACCATTTTGGGGGGGTCCTTCTTTCTATCATGTATCTATGTATGTACATATCTATGTTTGTATGTTTTTTCCTAGCCTTTTTAAGAGGACTTTCAAGCTTTTCTTTCTCCCTCCTGTGGAATCTTACAGAGGAGGCTGCCTGCACTGTAGGGTTAGGCTGAGGCACCATGGTGTGGCTATTGCAATGTCTCCAGAGCCCATCTCAGTGGCAGAAGTGTCCAGCTGTTTCCAATCAGCCTGCTCCCATTTGTGCTTCAGGGTTTTGCTTTCACTCTAGAACATATTTCATGAGTCAGTAATACAAACCCATATATCTCTGCAGGGACCCCCAGTTCCCCCAGAGCCCCAGTGGGCCAGAGAGCCTAAAGGGAAAGCGAGTGTAGACAGCAGAGGGCTGAAGTGGGAGGGAAAATCTGGCAGGCAGAGAGGAAGGGGTGGAGGAGGGAGGCCGTGCATGGCCCACATTAAAGGAGACAAAGCAAGTGAAGACGGGGTTGAAGACGGTCGGAGGAGGAAGGAGAGGCACAGCTAGTGAGAAGGGAGAGATCCTAGAGTGGCCAGTTCAGGGGGACTTTGTGATGGCCAGAGAGGCCAATGATGAATATCCAAGTTGTCATTGGGAAAATCCTGCCCCAAAGAAGGAGGCAGAGAGAGGTGGCCAAACACAGTTAGGAGCGGTCCAAGAAAGGGGTACAGTCAGCTGAGAAGGTTCTATGTGTGGGAGAGGATGACATTGAATAGAACTGGCTCACAATACCAAAGGATACCATTTTGTGGTGCAGAAATTTCCAGACTCAGGGATAGAAAGAGGGCGTGTGCCTAGGATATACCTTTTAAATGAGGCCTGGGACTCCAGCCCAGCTTCAGAGGCTGTGCTAGAAATCTTAGTGGTGAGGTCCAGTCTGCTGCTCAAGTCTGTCTGCAGCATTGCTTCAGACCTCTGGTGCATCAGTGGATCCCAAATCTGTGGATCTGAAGGAAAGAGAAGGATACACTTGTGTGTGGATGAGGCATCCTGCCGTCTCCTGATGAATCTGATTTTGATCAAGCGATAGCATCCAGAACTGGTAAAGAAAAATGACTTTCAGTGACTTGGTAGCACACACGCTGTGGGAAGCTGAGGCATGTTTGCAAGTTTGAGGCCACCCTGGACACTTTAGTGATCTAGCCAAATGCTGTCTCAAAATTAAAAATTAAAGTGGACTGGGGACATAGCTGACTGTCAATGTTCATGTTCAATCTCCTGTACTCTAAATTCATTTGTGTGTGTGTGTGTGTGTGTGTGTGTGTGTGTGTGACTGTTTAGCGATGGCAAGGAAGACTGTCTTCAAGGGGAGCCCACCAAGTTAGACACAGAGGACATGCTCAGGGTGAGGGGTGCACTGAAGTCAGAACAGAACCACAGTCCAGCCTCCTCTTTGGCCAGGACCCTTGGCCTTCCAGAGTCTATGCAGCCTCAGGGGAGAGGGCATGATGATTGCAAGGAGCAGAGCACTGGGGTTGTGCAGTGAGGCAGAGCCTGAGCTCCCCGGAGTGCAGTCTACATGAGTGGGCACTGGCATCTCAGGACCCAGGTGGGGCTCAGGGCATAGAAAACTATTAAGATAAATAACCGAGGCATTGGAGGACTCTGGATAAACCAAGCCAATAGGATCCTTGGCCAAGCTGGAGCAGCATGATGAGACATGCCTGGGGATGGGAAAGGACCAGCAACCTTGTCAGATTCTCAGAGGGATCAGGGATTTGAGTGGCTAAATGGACTGAGCTGCAGTTTTGCTAAAATGGGACCATGCAGAAGCACAGTGAGGAAGCCACACACTCAGGTCCAACTGCAAAAGAGCTCAGAGGCCTTTTAGTGTTTGGTCAAGGACAGAATCTGTATCACCAGTAGGAGTCTGAGTTGTAGAAAGTGGAGCTTCTCCATTCCATAAGCTCTACCTAGGAAGACAGGGACCAATTTTTACTAAATATTGCAATTTTAAAAATTTTGCATGACGTTCACATATGATACCTAGAAAAGTTCACGGTCAAGAATGTGAAGAGATAATGTCAATAAGTTCTCGGTTTATAGGTGTTCATAAATGTAACACTAGTTACAAAGGTGTGATAAGATATATACAGGTTTCACATACTTGTAATTTGAGTGATTGGGAGGCTGAAACAGGAGGATAGGAAGTTTGGGTCCTGCCTGCGCTGTGTAGAGAATTCAAGTTCCTCCTGGAATACAGAGTGAAATCCTATCTTAAAATTAAAAATAAAAACTAAAAGAAGGTTTTCTGTTTCATAAGGTGGAACTGGGAATCCTCAGCCTGCTTAGGGGTCTCACAGGGCACCTTGCAAGCCTTGCTCTGTCCCGGAGGGTGCAGCAGTGTGGCAAAGTGCTCAGTAGTATTAAAGGTCCACTTCAACAGAGAGGCACACCTTCAGGTCAGCTGGTGCATCACATGTTTTATTTCACACTTTTCAAGCTCAGAGCATTCAAAGGATTCACACCAAGACAGTGCTTGAGCCTGGCAGGTCCAGGACCCTTTGTGTGGCTGACTCACAGGGCACAGGCCACAGGGCAGGCTGAAGAACTCCTGCTGATGACTGGCAGATGGCTGGAACACAACCTGTCTCGGCCTCAGGATGAGAGCTGGTGCATTTCCACTTGTATGATCAGGAGTCCAGGAATATCCTTGCTCTCTGGGCCCAAACTACTACCCTGGTGATATCATAGTTACTGAAGCCCTCCTGTGCATGGGCCATGAGGCTCCACAAGCTAATCACACAAGAGGCCATCAGGTTCCTCAGGCTTTGCAGTCCCTGTTCCCTCTGCTGATATCTAGGGCTACCAGTGACATTCATGAGCTAACAAAGTATGCACTTGATTTCAGCATCCTGGCCTCGTCTGCACGGGCAGTGCTCCTTGGAGAGCCCTCAGCCTTTCCCAGGACAGAGTCCTCTGGCCAACACCCTTGCCTTCCCATGCTGTGCTGCTGCTGGACCTAATCATAGGAGCAGATGATACATTTCCAGGGAGACAGTTCAGTGATTCACGTGTATTAGATCTGCACAGCTACGGGAGTTAATTTCAATGAGGGCAGTGCCATTTCCAGACACAGTAGGCACAGTTTCTGGTGATGTCCGGATGGAGAGTGGAGCATCAAAAGCTTGGGCTTCTCTAACCTTTCTCCTGGGTGTGTCTGCTTTCAGTCGGACTGGGATTGGCACTGTCATCTGCTGAGCTGGCTCAGGGTCAGCACATCTGCAGTTGTCAG